CCCCAAAACCCCAAAACCCCAAAACCCCTTTAAAGTTTAGATTGTAGAATAAAATTATGGAAGAGGTCTTGGATAGTACATTTGGGACGGGAATAGGACTTTTGGAGGAGGAAGCGATCTGAGAGATGATACCCAAATTCACACCCTCTCGTGACCACCGAGCCTTCAAAAACAGCCCCTCTGCTCACGCTCCAAAAACCCCTCATGCAGTCCAAAGCCCTTCTAAAAATCCCTGCCTCCCTAAGCCCAAAGACTTTGACTGGGCAGATTTCGAATGAGACTTACAACCAGATACAAGGCAGAGGTAAGCCATAAGCTTAGGCTTTAGGAGAAATGGGGTTACACACAGGATGTTCAGAGAGAAAGCTACAGAAGGTAAGTCCTTTTGTTAATCTTAATAGATAAATCCCTAAATTCTACAGAGAATGATGCAAGAGCATTTAGGAATATACTCATCAAAAATATTAGTTTCGGAGATGACAGCAATAAAATAAAAATAGAGAGAATTCAGCAAATGAAAGCAAGAAAAGAAATTCAAGTTTTTAAATGTTCAAATACGATTAAAACAGGCACAATGGAAGCTTACAGAAAGTATTACTACGGAGAAGACGGTAAATTGACCAAAAGGAATGACACTCCTAAATCTCAGCCTCGCCAAATCAAGTTTGGAAGTCCCAAAGATGACTTTCAACAAGGACCTCTCGAACACTTTCTGTTTACTGGAATACATAATGTGAATAAAATTACTAAAAATCTCCAAGCGATGACTGAGAAGTATAAAGAGTCATGTCAAGAAATCAACTTCCTTGAGTCTCTCCAAGAAGCTGATCAGAGTAGCTCTAAGAAGTTGGAGAAGGGGAATATAGACTCAAAGAATTCGAAATCGAATAAAGAAGTCAAATTAATTCTTCTGACCCTTCACAATATTGAGCTGATCACAAAAAGGTTGAAAGCTTATCAAAAACAGAAGGGCTGATTTAAGTATGATAATTCAATAGACATCCCTCTCCCTGCTAGGATTGAGATGAATGATAGGATCAAGATGGACAAACAGCTGAATAACTTTTTGAAACTTGCTAGTGAAAAGCTAAAACAGAATAAGCCATTAAGGCACATTTACCAACTTGATGGCACCCCAATCTTCTCTTTACCTGAAATTGAGTCTGGATCTCTAGTCTTTATTAGTCATTCCCCATACTTCTCCAAGATTATTGGCGAGAGTTCAAAGTATCTTGGCCGAAAGCCTGGGTCTAATACAAGCTTCAAAGGAAGTAAATCCTCTGGAAAGCTTTCATCATCAGCCAACAAGATCTGAAGCACCAAGCTGAATCCCCATTATGCCCAGTCCTTCTGGGCTCAGATGGAAGAAATCAGGGATGATGTTCACAAAAGGTTCTACAGACCCATCCCTGATGAAGTGATTGATAGGCTCAACACGATTTTAAAGCGCAAAATTCCTAAGAGAAAAAGCACTGAGATTCCTAAAAGTATGACCAAAAGGAACTCTATCAAGAACAGACTGGACAATGAAGGATCTGGCGCAGAACTTCGTCATAATGTGTCAATGGATATCACTATTGGGTTAAAGGCACGTATCAAGGCTGGCCTTGCCAGGGCTAAACGGCAGAGATTTAGCAAAGAATTTGGAGGCTCAGATTCAAAAACGAATAGATTAAACAACACTCTTAAAAATTATTCCGATATTAAACACAAGAGAAGGAGAAAGTTGGATATGTATTTTAACAAATTTGCACATGAAGAAGGAAACTCACCAGTCGTTCCTCAGAAGAAGACCAGTAAAGAGTCCACAGGGATAAGATTTGTTCCGACAAGCACTAATGTTAGCCTATCAACACCAAGGTTTCGGAAAACTGGGAGGGTAGTTAATTTCCATGATAGATTTTGCTAATAAAATCCCAACACTTTGGGTCCTCATAGGGGTTTTGGGGTTTTGGGGTTTTGGGG